ACCATATGGGGGGGAGAAGATAAGCTAACTAAAGCTAATTTAGAAAGAAACTAAATGCCAATGTAAGCACAAGAACAAATGGCTATGAACTGACTGTAAGCTGGTAGAAAAAAAAAAAATCATTTTTTGATGTCATTAGGTAAGTACATAAAACTTCTATCAGTTCCTCTGGTGATAAGGAGGAGTCCAGGAAGATCTTCATTTTATCATTTTCTGTCACTGACTGATGAACCATTTGCTCTCTCCCCTCAGGAGTTTGTACTGGCAATGCATGCCCCAGTGAAGGGCCCTGCCTACTTGGTGGTACCTTTCCTGGTATGAATTATGTGCCAGCCTTGAGCAACTGCCAACAAAATGTACAAGAGCCTTGGCACATTTGTCTGTGGTTGGTCGCACCAGTTTCCAGAACACAGTGTCCTTCCCACTCTCTTTCAGAGAGCCCTGTCTCATGCTGCCCATTCTTAACTCCCTTTTTGCCCACTTTCCATGGTGAGGGGTTTGCCTCCAACCTCTTAAAATGCTTTTCGTGTCCTCCTTCCATTTCCTTCATTTCTTTTTTTTTTTTTCCCCACAGTCCTCTCTTTCCCTCGGTAATTGTAAAGCCTGCACAAGGCTGTCTTTGAGATATTTCAAAGGGACATAACACTCTCTAAACAGAAGGTTTTCAAATGCCTTCATCTTTTCTGTCCATGGCCATACTAGCTGATGCATCTACACTTTGTCAAATCGGCGTGGTTGTTTTCTGGTTCTCCTATTAAGATTCTGAGAAAGCTGCGCTAATCTTATATACCTGTAGTGTAAGACATACCTGGGCAGATGTGTATGAATTGCTTGGAAAGTATTGCTCCTAACATTCAAGACTAAATTTCAAGATTTCACAGAGCCTTTTTAACGTGTGACTGTAGGGCTGGTTTTGTGGTTTCTTTTACATTACCATTGAAGAGAGGGAAGCCTGCTTACAGAGTCCTCTCCCTCCCCTCACTATCCTGGTCTCTAGCTCATCATATCTGGGATTTGGTGAAAAAATGCTGGAGCTGCCTCCAGCAAATGCACCTGGCTTTCCTTCCCTTGGGACCAAGGGCATGAGGGAAGGAGGGAGTGAGGCTGTGTGTCTGGGTCTTTTCTGACTTTCCCCACAGAGTGAGAAGTTTGAACATGCCTCAGACATAGACCTGGACTGGGGAGCTGGTCCCACAGCACAGCCTGGTGCTATTTAGGCTCTCACCTGTGAGTAGTATCAATTCATCTTATGGTAGTTTGTAAAGTTCATTTTAAGGGAGGAGCATCTTAAGCATGGAGAAAACATCTGTTTTGCCCAGAGCTGTAGTGGGTCTCGTGACTGACTTTAGAAAATCTTATCCCCAGACCCAGACATAAAGTCAGGTCAGCAATGAGCTCATCAACATCATTTTTGATATCGAGATTTTTCGCATATTTTTCCCTTTATATGACCAAGCATTTTGTTTCCTCACTTTTCATTTATATGCATTGCATACGACAAGATAAAAACCTACTCATGCATTTCAGAAACAGAAGGGCTTACTAGGATCAGAGAGGCATATGATGAGATGCCCTGAGTTGCAGTGCTGTTTCTCATTACATCATGTAGATTAGCTAAGGGGATGTTCAGCAGTGCAAGTGATGAAGGTTATGTATGAAAAGCAATGGATGACAAGCTGGTCCATCTCATGGTTACATCACTCTTGTCTAACTTTCTTTGCACATTCCTCTTTAAATGACAAAATGACAAATGGTGAATCTGTACCAAATTATTCAATTTTCAGTGCAAGACACACAAATATAAATCAAAGTGGTCTCTAGTCTTCTGCTCTCTAGAAAACTCTAGTTTTCTGCTTTTCTTGCAACAAAAGATCTGTCTCAAGTATCTGTGGGACACCAATTCCAATACAAACACACCATGGTTAATGTGTGGTTTGAAATCCATCATGGACATCTGAGACAAGAGCATATCCCTCATTTATTTTTTTACTTTTTGTACCAGTTTGCTAAAAGCCCTCCCAACATTTCCTATAATGTTATCTTTCTTTTCTTTCTCAATTGAAAGGAGCATTCTGAGAACACTATTTTTTTTCCTTGAGCTTCCAACTACATCACAGGTAGGATGCAGAGGGACGTGTTGGGGTGTTTCAGTTTTGCTGATCTTTGCTAGGTAATTTTTGTGGAAATTGATAAACAATGTGGATGTTACAAGTAAGAGCAACTGTAGGGAGCTGGGAAAGGAATATGTGGGTAGGGACTGACTTAAGCTATCACTTGGTATCTCCAAAATGCATAGAGATCAGGGGATTATTTATGGAACTATTTAAAGGAACATAGGGACATTTTGAACATACGCCACCAATGTGTGCTCAGCAGATGACCCTGGGTCACAGTGACATGTTAACATCAGAGTAATAAGGGATATTAGGGAGGAACTGTTAAGGAGGACTGTTCTGCTTAAGCATAACTGGCGCTTTTCATGGTGAGATTAGCTTGAACAACTTTCTTGAAACTCTCTGTTGACACTCAATATTCTCCAAAACAGGGCAATGGCTGCTCTGAGATTGGTTTCTCAAGCTGAATATCCTGCATGACTTCTCCCAGCAAAGCTCCCCCTCAGTGACTCAGAGTGCTGGCTAGTGCAATACTCGGCTCATGGCAAGTAAAATACCACTCCCTTTTTGTGACTGAGTCCTTTCAGGCTCCCCTTAGTGCATCTCCTGGCAATGATTAGGAGCATCTACTTCTTTTTTTAAAGGCTACTCCCCCTCCCATAAGCTCCAGTCCTGTGAAGTCCTTAAGGAAACATACCAAGATCTGAAAAGCTATTGTTTGGTATTTCAAATCCTGGTCCCTTTATGTCCAGCTGGTGGGAAAAGAGGAGAGAGACAGAAACAAAATAGGAAGGCGGCAGCAGGGAAGAGGGGGGTAGGGGAAGTTAGAAGTTTAGTGCAAAATGGATAGACCTAGGGATAAGCAGATCTGAAGGACAGAGAAAAGTGGGACAAAAGTAGAGCAAGATATGCTTAGTCCTGGTCCTGCTGGATGTCTCACAAGGGACTTTATGCAACTGGGGGAAGTTTTCTCCTATGAAATAGCCTGTAGGGAGAAGTAATTAAAAGTACAGGCACCTCAATAAACAAGGTGAAGATTAAAAAAAAAAATCAAGCAAAATACCAGCAAGAAAGAGAATGAAAAAATATATAAGAAGTATCTGGCATTTAAAAGCAGGATTAAAAAAACCCAAACAAACAAAAAGCAAGTATTCTGTAAGTGGCTTCCTGCCAAGGACAGACGATTTTATCTCTGTGCGCCGCGGTTCTTCCCACTGCAGAATGGAGCCATGGGTGCTCTTCCAATTTTTCAGAAATATTTGAAGTCTAGGAGCTGTTTGGATAGCTGTTAACAGTGGATAATGTAGAGTGAAGGAGGCTTGCTTCAGAGATGGGGTCTTCTTGGGAATATCAAAAAAAAGAGAACTTCATAACAGCCACCGATATGTAATAGTGCTACTGAGACTTTATGGGTGAAAACAAGGATATATTTAACGAAGATAAAGAAAGCATTAACAACACACATTAATAAGATTCAGCAATATCGGCATACAAAGAGTTGACATGTTGTAACTTTAGTATTTCCCTCCCTATAGTTAAAGATTTACTTTTTACTGTTTGAAATTTAATATATACTTTTCTTTTGGTTGGACTTTACCCATCTCATTCCTGTCTCCAAGCTGCAGGTCATCAGATTTTCTTACTGTCTATGATGGAAAAATCTTCAGAATAAAGCCTTATCTTTGATTGGCTGTTCCAAACACATAGAATATTTACAGAGTCTTATATCCAGCAGTAAATGCAGTTATCATCTGTATTTGATAATCTGGTGTTGTGCTTCTGATAGTTGTGTATAGATGTTCATGGGAAGCTCTGTATGGAATTGTTTGGCACATATTTAGGTTCTTTTCTTGGCTGAAATGAGTTTGTGAAATGTCCCGCACTAGTAACAGCTGAAAATTATAATAATCGCTTTCATCTTTGACATCACTGAAAAACACATGGTTATTCTCTATTGCAAAACCCTGATGGTCTTTGTCAGTTGCTTGAAAATTTGGCTATGGCGGTATCTTCCTTACCAATCCCTTTACTGTCTGATTTGATCTCTGTCTCATGTATAGTCACATTGTGCAAACTATTGGATGAAACTATTTTTGTTCAGCACCACTATGCCTTAAACTTCACTTGAGTCACGGCAAGGTTTGGTCCATGCTCAGAAAAACAATGTCAGTAGAAGTCTGGATGAGCTTCAGTTCTCTCGTATTTCAAACAGTATGTAGCTGCAACAAAGACAATGGATTTTGACCTAAGGATTGTATTTTCGATGTTTAGGAATCTCAAAAAAATATGATAGGTAAGAAGTATAAAAGCATAAGGTTACAGTTGCATTTGTATGTGAGCAGCAAGGTACTGAAATACCCTTTTTGGTTTTTTAGGAATGCAGACCTCTTTCTCCATCTCACAGATAAGTGTGTGCAGAACACTCAGCCATAATTAAGGATGGAATCTCTTTTGAATTCCACTCTTCTGGCTGCACAGGGAGACCTGCTGGTAGTTTTGTTTAATGAGGATAGCCCCACAGAGTGTCTGTCTTTAAAATTCTGTGATTAAGAAATAAAGAATGTGAAAAGCTATGAATAGGAAGCTAACATTTTTCTTACGCCACTCACTGATTTACAAACCAAGTGTGGACTACTTGTCATCTGGAGCTGGCTTATGAAACTATTTCACCAGTACGATGTTTTGAATTAAGAACTTGATGACAAGGGCTCCTGATGGTCTGCAGGCTGGCAGTGTTCAGTGGCTGCCTGGATTCAGCATCGTTGGTTTGACATCGATTTTTACATATCACTTATGGTGAGAAACACCCAAGTGCCTTCTGATGCCTTAAGTGTGGCTATCAGTTGCAACATGTGGCTCATTCTTTCTCCCATTCTTGTTTTCCAGTGCTCCATCTTAAGTGTGCCTGAATACAGGATGCCTCACATTTCTAATGGAAAAAGGTAAGGATGAGGTTCTTTTCTCTGGAAGCATAAGGAGCTGTTGGAATTTAAAGCAGTACTTCTTTCTACAGGCTGACAACACAGCTACCAGGTGCTTTCAAGTATCACTACGGCTATAATGGAGAAATTTGGTCATGCTCCATAAGCTATGCTGTAAAGGGGTTGAGCAAACCTGATTTTATGAAGACTGAGTTCCCTCCACAGGTTTTAGTTCTGGCTTTGTGATCCTTGTGATCATTGTAAAGGTATGGCTTACACCCAAACCAGGAATGAAAAGACTGCCAAGATGCACAACATAAGATAATATTTTCAGGTTTGATTGAGACTGTAACATCTATCCTTATATTGCGGTGATAGGGATTGCTATAATATTGCTGTCAGTAAAGTACCTGCAACCCCACGGCCAGAAGCTTTAGGGACGAAAAAGCTATTGACTCTCTATTGAAAAGAGTAAAGCACTGTCAGGCAAAACTTCATCTGCAAAAGAGAAATTTAAGAGGTAGTTTAGCAGAGTTGTATTTGCACTTTGGGAGTTTAATGAGTGTTATATTGTAGCAAAGACTTGATGTCCATAGTTCAAGACTTTCTGTGCAAGGTTGCTGCAGAAGGCTCCATCTCTGGGGTCTTGCAATGGATTGAATGCTAATGTGGGTGATGATAGGGAGGAGCTTGCAGTGAGAGGTGGCACAGCAGTACCTTCATTCCCTCTTCTAGTCCTCAAGGAGACAGGGACATTGAGTTAAGTAGTGATGCTCCCACAGTAGTCTAAGCAAGCTGGATCCCCAACAACAACAGACAGACCTGCCAGGAGAAATCTGGGCTACTGCCCTGCATTGATGTTGTCTGTGAAACGTGGTGGACCTGGTACGTCTATGGGACAGTCTCCACTTCTAAGAAAGAGGGAGCTAAAGAGAGACCTCTACCAAGGACATTAGAAAGACGTCAGAGGAGTGGGTCTCTGTTTACCTTATCCACTGTATTTCACTAGGCCTTTTTTTTTCTGGCCTAAGTTCATGATTGCATTCTCCATCCTGTTCTAAAGACTTTGTTTCTACAGTCCTGGTGTACTTGAATGAGAGAAATAATGTGGGGAACAGTCCTAGGGGAGGAACACTGATCTTCTGCATGTTTCTGTATTCATCTTGAACCAATCCTGGTATTTATCACAAGACAACCCCAGAGATGCTAACACCTAAAAGACACATGGGACTCAGAGGGTGGCCAGCCGCAGAGTGGTGGCAGCGCAGCTGGGGTGTGCTTAGGAAGTCTTTGTTGTTCTGAGGCTGCTCAGTGCAGTGTGTTCCCAGTACAGATTCCCAGGGCTTATCTCAGGGACTGGTGATGCTGGCCTCAGGACAGCCTTCTGCCCTTCTAAATCATTGTCTTCTGTTGGGGTGAAACTTCACAAAATAACCAAAGATCAGAAGTGGAAAGAGGCAGCATTACAGAAAAGACACTGATTCTCTTACTTCCTCTCCCTTCCTGCCCCCTCAGCAACTCATACAGGACCTGCTGACTGCTTTCTGCTGCCTCCATGGAGTGAGAGTGCTCTCTGTGCCACAGTAAACTTTTTCTCTGTTAAATCAACCCTGGAGGCTTAAAATACACTTCTAAAGCCCCTATTGCCTCACTGGTGCAATGTCCTGTATTCCTGGTGCTGATCACATTCTGTTGATTTTACTTGCCACTTTTCAGCTATCTTTACAGCATTTTTCTGAAGTCCTCTGGCACTGTTGCCTCCCTATCAGAACTGGGAAAATAGATTTAAAAACTAATATTAATACCTGTTTGAACTGATGAGTTTCTGTAGTACTTTCAAGAATGGGAGAAACTAGTCAAATGGGCAGGAAGCTCACGGGATACAAACATGCATTATTTCTATAAGCACTGGATTTTTTCCATCAAAGTACAGGAGAAGATGTTGGGAGGGTTTGTCTGGAACGTAAAAATACAGAGTACTTCCCCAGTGATGGCAAGGCGCTAAAGTGGAGCTTCTTTAAACCCACATGGAAGATATATAGAAGATTATACACACACATCTATATTTTCTCATATATTTATTTTTTAACTATTTTCTGATAAAGAAAAGGAAAACCTCATTTTCTGCTAGGAAAAACTGACAGCTAGTAGAAAAATTATCCTTCCCATTCTTCAGTGTATAATGAGATGTAACTATGTTTCTTCACCACCTTTAAGCTTACACAAACTTCCTTTTTTCTATAATCATGTGGGAAAACACTGCTGGCTCTGTATCTAATAACTACAGAAGTGAATGTGGTATTTCACTGTCCTCTTCCTTGTTCGTTCTTGTATCTACTGTGATGATCTATTCTTTGAAGTTCAAGGTGTCATACATTCAAAATAAATGCTGGAGGTATAGCCATAGGTCTGCATGTGCCATTCATGGCATTAACTGTAATCTATGCCCTGTTTTCTCCAGGGAATGTTTGACCTGACACTGCACTGAATTTATGAGAGTGAAATCCCTTCACAAAGGCAAGTGCTGAAAATTTATTACATCTGTTTTACCTTGTGGGAAAATTATGTGGTCTACAAAAATCTAAAAAATGAAATTAAAACACACAGCATCCTGGAAGCAGGTTACGTCTGCTGTACTTTGAGTGTTATCTTAACAAACTTCAAACTACAATCTTAACAAGTTGCAAACTGCACTGCACCATGACTGGCCAAAATATAACCCTCATGCATTCTGCCCCATCTGAGGGCTATGAAGACAAGAAAAGCTTGTTCTGTTCTCTGTGGATGGTACACTGCAAGACCTAGTAACCTGGTCCATCACACCTTGTCTATGGGCAAGTCCAACGTCCAGCCCAATCCAACTTAATTGCTTAGCTAAAGAACAAATTACAGTTCTGCATGTTGCATGTTGCCATCATTATAATTCCTGCTATTGGTGTAGCTTTGCTTTCATGGTTACTACTGAGACAGCTAGAAGAGGAAAAAAAGATTTATAGGAGGGTGCAGTTGCAAACCCCTGCACAACCTAAAGAGCAGCTGAACAGCTTTATTTTGCCCCTCTGAAAGACAGGCAGAGCTGGAAGACAGGCAGGGTCGGTGAGGATGACACTACTTGCTTCAGTAAACAGCAGCATTGCCCTGCATCTCAGATAACTGATCTACTTTTTTCTTCACCTGTGCCTGTGAACACCCCACCATGCTGTATGGCACAATAACATTTTCAGAACATGCTAAGTTTTGAACTGCCTTCCAGTGTTTGAAGGTTGCCATGCAGTGAGCCTGCAGAACAGCTGAGTCTAAGGGATGTTGCCTTATTTGAACTAGAGTTATTTGTGCTAATGCTGCATGTATGTTAGGCAGCATATTCTTCTGCTCCCAATTTCTCACTCATCACTACCTGTCATGGGTTCAGCAGTAGCAGTCATTTTTCTCCTTCTTAGTAGCTGGTGCAGTGTTGTCTTTTGACTTTTGGCCTGGGAACAGAGCTGTTAACAAGGATGTTTTAGTCTGACCAAGGACTTTCTGAGCCTCATGATTTGTCAGGGAGGAGGGGAAGCCGGGAGGAAGCAGAGACAGGACACCTGACCCAAACTGACCAAAGAAGTATTCCATACCACAGCACGTCATGGCCAGGAGGTAGCTGAGAGTTACCCGGAAGGGCTAGGGGACTGCAGGGTTGGAGGAGGTATCGTTCAGTGCTTGGTTGGGCTGGGGGGGTGAGTTATTGGTTGGCAGGTGGTGAGGTGTTGTATTCTCTTCCCTTGTTATTTCTTTTATCATTATTATTATTGGTGGTAGCAGTAGTGATTTGTGTTATACCTTAGTTACTAAACTGTTCTTATCTCAACCCATGGGAGTTGCATTCTTTTCGATTCTCCTCTCTGTCTCTCCAGGAGTAGGGGGAGGGAAAGAAGGGGAAGAGTGAGTGAACGAGCTGCCTGACTCGTTTTAAACCACGACACTACCAAATACAGAGGCTCAGAGAACATTCATCTTGTGGGAATGGGAACATCAAAGATGGGTTAGCTGAGCCAGGGCCAGGTGTGAAATGTTATAGTTACAGAGACCCTGAGTGCAGAGACCTTGACCTGTGGAAGTTGACAGGTCCATAACTAGTGCCTGTATGGTCATACAGCACCAGTAAGACACATTTGAAAACAGTTATTTTCAGTTCCATGCAATTCTTTAAGCTACTGCTTCCACATCTATCCAGAGGAGGTTGCATGGGATTGCACTACTGTTTTGAGAGCACACCACGGTGGGTGCGCCACTGCACTGGGTTTTGTGTGTTGTGTCTCTGCCACCCGGCAGAGATGTTCCTCAGACCTCACAAGGAGGCCGGTGGCACAGGAACACAAAGGAACAGAAATCAAAGTCAGGCAGCCTGACAAAACGTCAGTTACAGCAATTTTGCTGAAAATACCTCAGGGATAATGAAGCCAGCTGATCGCAACCAGCGGAGGATGTGACTCTGTATTTAAATCTATTTTGGTAATACATATTCTAAGTAAGATCAGTAGCAATGTGATGGTAGGTTAAAATATAGGTATTTGTTCATACATATTTTATTTCATCCGCATCTCTTTATAGGTAGTTTTATACTTGGCTTTGAAGCATTTGCCCTGTTATCTGCTTTTTATTGTGTCCGCAAAAATAAAGACATCTGCTTGTAAGATAGCTGCATAGGACTCTCATGCAGAGGCCGATGGAAGCCAAAAGAACCTGAATTCTGCATTCCCACTAGCAAAATTCTCTGAGTGCCTGCAGTTCTTTATGTCTCTGGGTGTGGAGAGTGTGTGAGACCTTGCTACCTGGTATACCCTGCAGGGCTGGTCCTGGTGGGCGATTCCCACAGCAGACACACACAGTGGTCTGCACCTCACACACCCAGCCTTCCTGAAAATGTGGTGATGGGTCAGGAACAGAGGAACAGTTGCTCAGAGGTGGCTTCAAAAGATACTATATCAAAGGACTAAGAAGAAGAAAACAATTATGGGCAGCTGTTACTCAGGGGAAGTCTGAATAAGAGACAGTATGCTTGCTGCATAAAAAAGCTTTTCCTGTGACACCACTCTCATACCCTTCCCTGGCAGAAGTATCACTCTTTTCTCTCCCTTTGTATCAGCTCTCAGCGGCCTCACCCCATCCACTGCTGTGCCTGAGCTGCTTCTCATGGCAGCCAAACAGTGAGTTTAGTTTCTGTAGCCAAAGCCCACGGTGGGGGTGAAATAGAGCTGGCTGTCTGATCTCTGTGGCTATCTGAGCGGAGGCATTGCAGCAGCAGGATTAACACTGTCCTCCCCCTAGCTGAGCACAGCTCTCTGCTCCTAACCTCCTCCGTCTGTGGCACTGCGGTGACAGAGGAGACTGCCCAAGTGGGCACCAGGGAGTCCCCTGCTGCCAAAACGGCTCCCTGAACATCCAGCTGCTGTTGCGAATCATTCACAAATCGCTCCTTGGTAATACAGTTTTTAGTCTTATTATAGGTGTGATATGAAATACTGGGATAAATTGGGAAAACCTGCCCCACAGCAGCCAGTAGCCACAGTGTTTGAGACACAGAGGCTTTGACAAATCCATGTTGACTGTACTCCTTTCCTCATTATCTTTCAGTGACTTATGAAGAGTTTATTTAATTCTTCAATCTAGTATTTTTCCCACATTAAAGATAACATGACTGCCCTACAATCCCATAACTTCTCCTTTTCCTGAAGATACAAGCGCAATTCAGCTTACATGATGTGAGCACTAGATGTCCAATTTAAAATAGTTATCAAGGTTCCCTCTGTAATTATGTGAGAGATGGGTGCCACAAGAGAGTCATTTTAGGAACCATTTTAGGATGAGAAAATTGCTTTCTAAAGAAGACACTTGTCTCCAATGACTCTGCAATGGGGGTTATTAATAATGAATGACTTTCAGATGATCTGTACTGGGTGGAATGAATGTCCATTCCGGACTTGTCTGCCTGAGTCCTGTGAACCTCCAAGGTGGTTTCAGCTTGTTCTTAAACACCCTAAGATAGAATTAATCAGGAAGCTGATTTGGAAAACAACTTGACAAACAACTGTCCTAAATATTCTCTATCTGTCTTCCTCTTAGCCTGAGAGCTGAGTTGTGGTGTAGGCTGTGTTAATTGTGTGACTGCATGCAAACTTTGTCTTGAAGAATGGTGTATGCAAAGATTTAATATTTTGCTTTTGCCTGTGTGTTCAGGTGGTGCCATTCCTTCTACACTGCATGGTGGTCAAGCTCTTTCCCCATCCTCTTACTACTAATGTAATCAAAATACGTTTCTTTGTTGCCTTTTATGTCTACTGGTATGTATATGCTGTAGAATTATAATTTCAGCCACGTAGAGATCTATTTTGAATGATTACTTCATAGCTGCCTTGTAAATTCTAACATGTTGAATGTTTAAAGAACACAGACTGGGATTAATTCAGATCATAGACTAATCTACAGCAAATGTCCTTTTAAAAAGTCTTTTGTATCACTCCTCAAAGAGGGCATCAAGCAATAGAAGAAAACCAAACAGAGAATATTGAGAAGAAATGAGGTTCTTCTTAACTCTAAATGGTGTTAATTATTTTTATTTTTTTTTTCATATTTCTAGACTGACACTGTTTGCACATATGTTCCAGAACAAATTTGTGTGGTGATCATGCAATCGGGTTGTTTTCAGCTGAAGATCTAAGACATAGGGTTTTTTTAACTGTAATGTGGTGGTAGTCATAAAAGTGAATTTAAAGAAACAGCATGAATGTTCTAGCACAGGATCTACTGTAAATATAAGTAAGCAGTATAAAGGTGGTTGACATCATTATATCCTGGCCATGGAGGAAAGAGGTATACTGCCAAAACTACTTTTCTAGTGAATGCATCTGTATCTGGAGGCTTTACTATACAACAGTTGAAGCATTGCAGCCTGTGTGTGTGAGAAGGGTGGCATATGCCCTTAGCCCTGTCAGTGCCCCTTGCATTCCCATGAACCTCTCACATGCATTGGGCCGTGTTTCTGTACAGCTGCTACACATGCTGCTGAAAGCAGATGAGACAGATACTATGTGTAAGGCAAAGCACATATCATGCTATCAATTTTTAAACACCATTGAAGAAGTGATGGCGCAGAGTGGTTTTTAGAAATAAATGGAAAGGATTAAGCATCCTAAGTGGGAGGTAACAGCAACAGCAAGAAAGCAGTGACAAAACTTTGTATGACACTTCCCAAATTGCTAGGCAGCCTTTTCCCTAGGTCCACGACAGCCAGACTGTGACACTCTTGTAAGCTAAGCATGGCTTTGCGACAGGACTCCTTGCAGGAAGACTAAGTGCTGTACAAAGGATAACACTTTCCCCGTAGTTTGTTAAGGAAAGAGGTCAATCTTCCCCAGGAGTAAGGAATGAATCAATGTCCCGGCATGAAGCTAAGGGTTTCAGACCTCCATGCTCATTGTCAGAGCTCCAATAAGGCTTTTTGTAACAGTTAGTGTCTCCTCTAAATTTCAAGCTGTGGAATTATGTTCTCGTCTGTTTTCCTACAGTGTTTTTATTTGGGCATGATATACTCATTGTCTGTAGCTGTTGCAGTGTCCCTGTTTGTTCTCATGGCTCACAAAATGTTCCACCTTAGAAGCAGCCGCCTTTCAGGGATAAATAATACCAGCATATGCAGCACATAAAATCCTTCAAGATTCCACACAATGAAACGTCCTATATTTTGAATAATTGTCTTCTTGTTCTTTTAGGCCTCAAACAGGAAATATTTAAGCACATTTTCAATTAAGTTGCATTGAAGTTAGTGTAGTTGAAGTCCATATTTTTAGCATGTGTTTCTAATTAAATGCATCCATAAATGCTTTCCTGATCAGAGGTCTTCAAGCCTGTGAAAGCACAGAAGCTGAAGTATTCATTTTTGGCTGCTCTGGGTGCTGAACTGGGAACTGCAGTTGTACTTACAGAGTCCCAGCCTCAAGGCTATGGTTTGCTTAAAGTAGTACTGCAAGGTATGGTGCTTATGTGTTACACAGAAAACAAACACATACATAAAGCATATAACTAAAGAAGCACTGAAACTGAAGATCGCACACAAAAAAATTAATCCTCCTGACATGCTGGTTTGAAAGGACACACAACAGAGATAGAGAGCCTGCTATAAGCCATTCCTAGTTTCCTCTGTCTGGAAAAAGAAAATGAAATTACACAGTAAAACACTGATTTGGGGTGAGCAATGGTAATCATGCTTTTTTAGCATAAAACACAGTTGCTTTAAGCTGACTGTTCTGCACAAACAGGTGTTCACATGTTTCAGTTGTCTGTTCACTGGAGCATTGGGACTCTATAATAGTCCTGCTGCATGAAGGAGATATTTGAACTTTTGCAGCTTGAGATTACCAAAAGGAAAAGGACTCAATCCATCAAGATGTATACTAAAAAGTACCTGGCTGGTAGGATACAAATGCCTGTAAGTGCAAGCTGAATGCCTTTATGATAAAAATTAATTACTTTTTATTATTTTCTGTATTATGTCAAGTAAGGAATATGACACATTTTTAGCCCTTCTTCCTACATTTGCAGTTAGAAACACAAATGAACAGATTTACTTCATCATCTATAGGTAATGACAGCAGCAATTCTTTTTCAAAGAGAAAGGCAGGGTCTGGTTGTGATTTTGTGAAAATAACCTGACAGTCATTTTCTGGCTTCTTTTACCGTGCTCATCATTTCACTTTTTGAATAGCTCATCAACTTGTAAAAGACCAAGAACAGAAGATTTCTGCATGTTCCTCCAGCTCCCTTTTTTGAGAGAAATTTTCTTGTGTGTTTTTAATTCTGAGCTCTAAGTGGATGGAGGATTAATGGTACCCTGTGTTTCTACTTTTCATTTCAAAGGCTGTGGATGTTGATATCTGAGTCTTCCTGCTGTCTTTGATGAGCATGTTCTGCAGCTGAAGGCTGGCTGCTGAGGCAGGGAACCAGGCTTTGACTCGTGGATCTTGACAGCTCCATTGTCCCCAGGAATGAACCTGTCACGGGAAACCGTTGCCCTTTAGGCTTAGCCCACAGGTAACTTCGATAGGTCTTACAGAGGATTTTGACACAGAGGACAAAATCTTCAACTTCTGTTGAAGGATGTGCCTATAAAGCATCAAAGAACAGACTGCAAAATGTGATAATGCACTAAAGAGGACATTCAGCTAAATGTTTGCACAATGATTGAGAAAAATCAAACAATAATTCAGTGATTTCAGTGCAACAAAATCAAATATGATGCTCATCACTTTCAGTACTGGCGTATGAGTGCCCTGCAGGATCCCAACACAGTTTGGCTTCTGATCATCCAAAGAATACCACACTATCCCCACGTGTAACCACCCCTTGTGCTTCTTGGGGTGGTAGCAGCCTTAGCTTATGTATCTACTCTAGTTCCAGACAGACTGCTCCTGGAGCTCTGACTTGTCCCTCTTCATGTTTACCCAGAACAGGGCTGAGATAACAAACACTCCTTTAGTGGCACTTGACACTTCCTCGTGCCACCCTTTAGCACCCTTCAACTTCCATTCTTAACTCCCTAGAGACTGTTTCTGTCATTTTAATCTCTCATTTTCTTGATCCTTGACAAGCAGAGATAGCATTGCTCATTTTTGCCCTCTCCCTACTCCCTTACAAGCTTGTGACATTAGTCACAAGTCTGTGAGTCCCAAATTATCTACTGAAAAGTTGCATAAATGTACTTCATATGGTTTTACCCTTCTATTTTAATGTAACTCTTACAATAAATTTCATAGCCCCATCATGTGTTTTGTTGCTCAGGAGGTAACATCAGAGCCAAGAGGGACCCTAGTGTAGGTCATGCCCTCAGAAACGGGTGCTGTCCCACACGTCTGATCATGGTGGGCAGATGTGAGAGCAGTAACAGCATCCATCAACAGACCCTGACATGGCAAGTGTCAAACCAGGGCCAGAGACCATGCCAGGTGCTTCTGTCAGAAGCAAGAGGAGATGAGGCAAGCAAACAGCATGGGTCCGAAGTCTATCCAGGGTTTGAGATGGCACTGGAGGCAAGCTGCAGTGTACATCCAAGACACAGTCTACCTATAGCATAGGTCCAGTCCATCCAAGAGAGAGGGCTGGAAACCAGCATTGCTACAGTGCCTCTAGGGCAGGGACTGACTGAACTGAGCTAGGGTCCTGAGCTGTGGGCAGGGTAGGGGTAGCCAAAGAGGAGGCTCTCTGGAGACAGTAAGACCTGTGGGTGCCCTCAGCACCATGACAGGTAAGGGGATTGCTGACGCTACTGCCAATGACATTACCTGTGATTTTGTTTTACTTACTAGTGGGGTTTTCTAGGAAATAAGTTTCCCAACATACTGCTCTATGTTATGCACGTGTTTGTTCGTATTTGCATCTCTCAGTATCTTTCAAACTGGCTGGAAAGCCAAACAGAGTTGGTAGGGATCACCAAGGTAGTAATGATATTCCTGCAAGTTTCATGAAATCAGAAACGCCTATTGTACCACCCCAGCTGAGAGAAATGTTGAGGGAGCACGGTCCTAGTAGACACCTGAGAATCCACTGGAGACAGAGCTTTCCAAGGACGAAACTTTACTCCTCTCTGGACACCAGCTTTGAAACACAAGTCTGTGGGAAACCACGTGCCCTTTGAGCTGGCACCCAGAGTGACGCATTTGGCAGGCACTTCATTTTTCCCCCCTTGCACCTTGTTTGGCAGCATCTGACTGTGAGCAGCCGGCTAGTCTGGTCAGCAGCATTGTTCTAGCTTTTCCCTCAGACATAAAGGTACATTCATTAGTGTTTGCAGTTAGTACTTTTAGTGCATTTACTTGTAAGGAAAGGAGTAAGTGGCAGCAATAGCAAGAGATTTTACAAAGCTATAAGGAAGAGCAAGCAATCTACACAGGTGCTGCGGGACTCCAAAGGAACAGATACAGACCTTCACATTCAAACTGATATTTGGCAATGAAAGCAGCCTTTACGCAGTGCAGTTCCTCTCCCGAGCTAGGCACAAAAATACTCTATCCTTTCATCACATATTAAAAAAAGAAATAAAATCCATAAGGCATCAGGGCTGTATATGAGAAAGACACACAAGAAGTAGCAGTGCCCCAGCGTACAGGAGGAGTGACAAAACAATGCTGCTCTCTTTTCTGTGGACTCCCATGAGGCTGGGTTTGTATCGTGGAGAAGAACAATCCATTCGGTGTCCAGCTGGAATCTCAAATAACCATCTCTTTTTTCTTTTCCAGTAACAGGGCCAGTTTTGTGCAAAGAAGTAGGCATGGAGGTCTAGAGGTGGCAGAACTGTTAAACTCATGTCTAAGTGCAGTTGCAGCTGGCAAAAAATTAGAATGAATCTGCTTGAAGTAGGGGAATACTTGAATACAGAAGTTGTAGCCTGAAGATGTTTCCAGGGACAACTTTGTACCTCCTTCCCACTGGTATCATTACATTTTGTTGAACATCTCTCATAGTGGACAAACATGAGGTTTGAAGAATGCAGGAAAATATTCTGCAAGTGTTCCCAAAAAGCCTGTGACTGATGTGGTATGGTTTGGCTTGTCCTCAAAATGAGATTTTATGCACTCTACCATCAGCTTACAATTGAGATGATTTGTGCCTGTGTGGACATCTTCTCTATAGTTTTTAATACCTTATAATAAACTAAAAAATCATTGCTAGCCCTAGTGCAGTGCCCTTCCCCATTCCTTGTCACTCAACTGCTGAGCTTTGGAAAGCCTGCCAAGTCCTTGGCAGAAGCTTCTTCTCGTCTGAGCAGAACTGCAGGATTTGATCCAGGAGAAGAGAGGGTTTTCATATTTTATTCTGATGTCAGCAACAGAAACCTTCAAAGCAGAGGAATACTCCCCAGCTGTGAGCTGGGTTGCTCAGGAGGTACCACTCCTGTCGCTTTGTCAAGCTGATCAGGGTACAAAAGAGCTCTTTTTCTAGGCTGGATGCACTGAAGAGGCGCCAGGGCATCCCACCCACAGTACTCATTAAAGAAAAATAACAACAGCACAAAGCCCAAGGATTGTTTTCGTATTCGTAGTATCTCAGCAACGGCTACTCTCTATCATCTGTTTTTGCTTTGGTGACTTCTTTTCTTATTAAGAAGAAATGCCACATGCTGCCACACAAGTAGCTGACCTCCTGCTGCCGGTCAGAGGCTGCTTGTTATGTCCAGGTGGGATGGACTATGGGCTCTGCTGTGCTCCCTAGCTGTTGGACCTGGCTTAGAAGGAAGTGGCACAGACCAGGACTTTGCAATTGTTCTGTTTTCTCCAATAAATCAATTGTTCACCCAAAGAAGTTCAGACTTTTGACACTGGGTCAAGCAGGACAGCTAATATTGGCTGATGCAAAAACTAACAAACAAATAAAGTTCTGGAAATTCCTGACTGTTTCATTTCGACATTTTCAGAAGGAAACATTGAATTTTGGAAAGCTTGATTCATGAGGTGATTTAGTGGCTTTCACAATGCAGAGAAGAAGGAGTTGGTTGCACATCCCTTCCCTGCAACTCATTCTTCTATTCTGGTGTCTACAGCACTTGCCTGAATGGGTAATTAATTACTTTAATTACTTTCTATAAATTGTGATGAAGCTTCAGTTAGAAATATTGGGAGAGCCCCATTCCAGACCACCCTTTCTGAGTGTTGAGACAAGCTCTTGAAAAGCAAAAGACCCAAATTTAAGTGTGTTGTTCTCTGCTGTAGTGACACAAGGAGGAATGTTGAATTTGTGTCCCCTTTGAAAATACTGCAACAAATGAACCTTCTTTAAGGATGCAGGCTGAGGGTACAATATTCTCAAGGTTTTTCCAGTCACCTCTTGGTAAATTCAGCCTTTAATTTCCAAATGCCTTCAATTAAAGTTTTCCAAAATCAGATCATGATTCAGAAAAAAAAAAAATTAAAATAGTTCTGAGTAAAACACTGAATTTGAATAATGTTTTAGGAAACTGTACTGCAAATTAGCAGAGACAAGGGCTAGCACTTTTATGAAGAGTTAGCTAATTAGACAGCGGGATCTCTGAGATGGGAATCATGTTACTGCATTTATGTCTGTGACAGACGACACATCACTGGTGTAGAACTTTGTGTGAGTATCAGGCAACTCTTTTGCAGTCAAATAGTTGTAAAAATTTAATGAGTTGTGAAATAGATTTCTGGCCTACGGACCAATCAGTATTTCTGTCTGTAGTGAAGAGTCTGACAAACTCTGATGAAGGAAACCTAAGGCATGAGAAATATACAGGAGAGTACTACCTCATAGCAGGTAGTTATCCAGACAAGATGGCAGTGTAGAGTGATAAAGCTGAGCTTGCTAGCAGCTGTTGGTAAAAGATAAAAAGGGAAAGTCATATGTGGACATCGATCTATCTGCTTATTTTTTGGGACTACCATACAGGCTGTCAGTGACATTGGTGGCAATGGTGGTCCCTGTGGCAGGCACTGCATAAACATAGGGAGAGAGGCACTCCTGGGCCTTAAAACCCACAGATACCGGGTGGGGAAACAGAAGAAATCATCCTATTCATGTAAGATTTCTTCTCTCATCCAGCATTTCAGATAGTCTCTATCCATGCAGGGACTGAGCCTAAAACACCTGAACATCAGTGCTCTGACCATATGGCCATGTGTCAGGAAGACTCACGGGAACATCGGTGCAGCAAGACTGACTGAATTGAGTCCCAGTCACTCCATCGGCAATTTCTGTCCCAGCCACCAGGGCAGAGGGGATTACTTTTTTTCCCTCCCCCACTCCACCACACAGCTTGCTTACAGGCTCCTTTGTCCTTTGTATTTGCTCCCTTTGGTTAAGAGACTGCCCTGATCCAGCCGGCGGGAGAAGCTCTGCGTGTACTGGCTTAATTGAAGATGGTGGGGAGCCCAGCAGGAATTGTTCCTGAGTACTGGAAACAATACTTATAAAATCACTTCATAGTATTTGTAATACAACTTGTGGGAATACAAACAGCTTTAAAGACCAATGTCTACTCAGAAATCACTCTGAACAAAGCTTATGCTTTTCCTCTTTGCAGTCTACCTGTATTTCTAATCCTATAGCAAAGGGGAGTTTCGAGAGGAAGGGAAGATGACAGTGCTTTCTGTATGGAGATACATGAGTCCTGAAACAAAAAGAGAGAGCATGAATTTATGTTATAATTTTGTAATGGTTGAGAACACTGGGGCTCAATTTTTGATCATCAGCTCTAAAGATCATTTTAATGAGCATCATGGCTGAAAATAATTTAGCAATGCACATAATGCCCTGGCTACTGATTTTCTCATGCAATATAGATATGCAAGTTAAATCACAATCTCAGGTGGCCTCTGGGGCTGAAAATCCTCAGGCTACCCATGCCCTCCCTAACACACTAGGAGGCTGGAAATGATGCCGAACATTCACCACTTTCCTGCATTTTCCAAGCAAACTTGGAAAAAACCTAGAACAAAAACGTTTGGTGCCCTTGCAGCCCTAAGTGCCAAACTTGTCTTTTTGAAATGCTATGTCAACAGCTCTTCACTAGCAGGGCCATTATTTTTATTGGCTGTGGCTCTCTGGCTAGTGTTGACAGGTTAATTTACAGTAACAGTGAGAGTCACCTTTACTCTCTATACCAGAAAACACAGCCCGCTTCGTACTTGAATGCCACAC